CCACTCAAAGTTTCTCATAGCCCAAATAATCAAGGGGCTAATGTTGAGGGCCAAAAATGTCATTCACAAACCCAACGAAGTCTTAAGACCCAATTGTCATGCAAGTCTTCATTCAAATCCAAACACATGCCAAGGTGTAGGATCTAGAAGGAAATATATTTATACAAATCACGCCATGCTCATGCCTATTCATCACGCTAAGCTTTTTCATGCTAGTCACTATTCATGCTAAGCCCAAGTTACATGCTCGGGACTTATTAAGTGAATTGTGGTGTGGATGGTTGCAGAAGGTTGTTTAGCCTACGCGAAATCAGGGTTATAAAAGACTTTGCTGCTTGGGGCTCAAAGATTCAAGCCCATACCCTTTGCATTTCACGCAGGCAAACATTGAGAGAGAACTAGCCTAGTTTCCCTTTTTCTTAGTAAGTCAACCCTCTTAGTTATGCTAAACTATATTCCAGCATTAAATGCACACTAAACCCAACAAGTCTGCATTTAATACTAACATTTCCTTTCTAGCTTGCATAGGCAACCAACGCGCAAAAGCCACAAGGCGCGCTACTTGAAGTAACGCCTGCGAAAGGCCACGCCTCAAGAAGAAGTCGAATGCATATTTCAACCATGCAGCTACCTTACACCAAAAAGGAAATAGTATGAGAGTTAGTGAGAAAATGAGGGGAAGACCAGGTCACAAAATGAGATCTTTTGAAGCCTAGAAAAGAACCCTGCACTTACAAAAGGGAGGAGAAGCCATTAAGCAAGGGGAAAGAAACAAAACCAAGAAGCACCACCTAGGAAACAAATCCAAAGAACCTTATTAGCCCAAAATCATCCTTGAATCCTCAACAATCATCATTCATGCAACCTTAGTATTTCCCACAGCCTTCCACTGAAAATCCCAACCATTAGAAGCCTTGTCATCACCCTAGGAAAGCCCTAATCATCTAGCCAACTTTGTCATGCAACCATGCAAAACCCTTTCTCTCTCATGTTAAGCTAGTGATCTTCTATGCAAACCCTTTATCTCTCATGTTAAACTAGTGATCGTCTGTGTCATGCAACCATGCAAACCCTTTCTCTCTCATGTTAAACCAATGATCTTCTAGCTTTCACACTATGCTTCATTTGACCAAGTCATTATTTTGTTCAATCATGTTATCTTCGAGTCATTGATCTCACTAAGATATTTCCTCAGACAAGCTAACTCTTTTGTGATATTCTGGGACTTAGTACGAATCTGAACCAAGGGAGACGAAAGGACGTTCTCAAAGTCCAAGTCCACCTCGACCTAAAAGTCCCTTTACACCGTTCTTACTCATATAATTTTTTTGACATCTCATTCATTTGGAGATGCTTTAAAAATTTGTTTTTGTTATCACAACAAACAACCAATTGAATAAGGCTTGCTGTTTTATCCTTCTGAATCTTGACATTGGAAAGGAGAAGTTCAACACGCTGCTTCTTTATTTGAACAAGACTTTACCGTTTCATTATTTTAATTTGAAATTAAGAAAGAGACCTCACTAGTTAGGTGGTCTTTGTGGAATCAGATTTTAGAGTAAAAGTCGTCCAGAACATACGCTGGTCGAGGGTTGTGAGATGTGACGTCACTACCAGTCCGTGTCCTCTCCACGTGACATCACGACTTTACCCAATGCTTGATTAAAATAAAGTTTTCATCAAAAGGAGAGGCCAAAACCATCGGTCATCGAGAAGGAGGTCAGTATCCAAAATAGATTAAGTATTGGACACATATCCTCTCCGGATTTGAGCCTAGGAATCTGTGTATCAACAGATCCACGATAGATCCCGACCCTTAAGTATTAACAGTTGCTGTGACTGGTTGGTTGGTTAGAGAAGAATTAGGCAGAAAAAACAAATTTCTAGTATTAACAGCTGCCGTGACAGAAAAAACAAATTTCTAGTATTAACAGCTGCCGTGACAGAAAAAACAAATTTCTAGTATTAACAGTTACCATGACTGGTTGGTTGGTTAGAGGTGACTGGTTGGTTCGTTAGAGATGACTGGTTGGTTAGTTGGAGAAGAATTAGGCAGAAAAAACAAATTTCTAAATGACCTATCTCAGTAATATTATGCATTTTAATTTAATTCTTTTGTGAATATTCATTTTCTTTTCATTATATATTCTAACTCTAAAAGGAAAAATATAGTGCACAGGCCAAAAGAAATTAACTAAAGGTCAAAAAACATAAACTCTTTGGCTAAAACAATTAAATCACAAAATCTTGCACAAAAGTTTTAAGTTTTCTTTGAAAGCACTGGTGGGATGCATCTGAGCACATTCACGTGGTGATGTCACATTCACCTATAGTAGATGAAATAAATAAGAAAATAAATAATGATTTTAATTAATACTTTTTAATTAAGTAAGACTTTGCCAAATTTGAACACGCTACTTTTCTATACCAAACAAGGACAAGACCTTGCTTCTAAAAAAAAAAAAAAAAAAAAAAAAAAAAACACAAGGACAAGACCTTTCGGTTCTATTTCTTTTGCGTAATAGAAATTATATAATTTATTTAGTTCAACCCAAATAAACTAAAAAAATATAATAAAATTCGAGAAGCTTCTTGGCCTGAACGCTAACGTATACACACACTAATATATTTATACGTGTACAGCTTCATGCTTAAGTTTTCATTCTTCTACCCCTACAAAACCATAACAAAAACCATATGGCAACACAGACTAAAAGGTCAGGGCAATAAATGGAGTAAGATTCTCTCCTCTCTTATTCTCATTTTCTTTCCTTCCCTCTCCTCCTCTTACATATTATTTTTTTATCTATTAAAAAATTAACACAAAATGTTGATATGACTTAACCATAACCGTTTAAATAGAAATAGAGGAAATATCAAGAAAATTAAGATGGGACTCCGCAATAAATACATCGGACAGACCATTGCAGTGAACTGCAGATACATTGTCACGGTTAAATTATATTTAGTTGAATGAAAGAATTCAAAAAACTTGGAATGGAATGGTGTGGCTTTTTACCGTTTAAAAAAATTGAAAGGTCAATTTGACAGGATTCCCCTTATTTCATTCCAATTATTTGTTAATTGGCATGTGAAGACAAGGTTGGTTCAATTATTTTAGGATAAAATACAAAAAACGACCTCAACTATTGGTGTCACGATATTTTCATACCTCATCTTTTTAAAATGACAATGTTATACCTCATCTTACGAATTTGTGTCAATGTCATACCTTCATCAGTTTTTTTGTTAATTTTTCTGTTAAGTGCTGACGTGACTAGATATGGGGACCACTCACTAATCCAACTAGATTAAAATATAATTAAATATATATTTTAATAATTAAAAATTAAAAAAATTATATTAAATCTATCTCTCTCTCTCTCCCCCATCTCTCTTGCCTCTCTCTTTTCTCTCCATCCCCAAAACCCCTTCCCACCTAACCCCCCCCCCCCACCCGGCCCCCCCAACCTTCCTCCACCATCCTCTCTCTCTCTCTCTCTCTCTGGACACCCACTTACATCCCTCAAACCCTTCCCACCCATCCCCCCCCAACCTTCCTCCCCCTCACCCTTTCTTCCCCTTGCTTCCCGTCTTCCCCAAACTCAAAACCAGAACCACCCAACCCAGATCCCACCCCACTCCCGTCTTCTACGTCTTCCCCGAACGGTTTGAACCACACCCAAATCCGACAATCCGTCAACCTGGTGTACACCGTCCCGTCGTTCGACACTGCCAATGCATTCACGACGTCCTCATGCGCCTTGACCGACTCGACACAGCGAAGATTCGAGTCCCACCAAATCTTCAGGCTCAATGCAGCGGAGATCCAGAGGCATTTTTCATGGCTTGATGCAGCGTAGAAGAGGTTGTGGTTGACGGCGAGGCAAGTGATTGAGAGGGAGGGGTGGCGGGGCGGGAGAGTGGCGAAGCAGAGGAGGGAGATGGAGAGGTCAATGGGCTTTAGATGGGAGAGTTTTTGGAGGGAGAGGTTGCACATAGAAGATGGGAACAGGGGGAAGAAATGGTAAGGGGGAGGAAGGTTGGGGGGGGGATATGTGGGAAGGGTGGGAAGGTTTTGGGGATGCAGGTGGGTGTCTAAAGAGAGAAGAGAGGTGAGAGAGAGAGGATGGATCCACAATTTTATATTAAAAATATTTATTTAATTATATTTTAATCCAGTTGGATTAGTGAGAGGCCCAGTATCTAGTCACGTCAACACTTAATAGAAAAACTGACGGATGTATGACATTGACACAAATTCGTAAGATGGTGTATGACAATGTCATTTTAAAAAAATGAGGTATGAAAGTGTTGTGACACCAATAGCTGAGGTAGTTTTTTGTACTTTACCCATTATTTTATTCCAATTTTCCCCCAGCTACACAACAAAATTTAAAACTTTGATGTTCACCAAAAAAAAAAAAAGTAAAAACTTTGAGGGGGCGTTTGGTTGCCTTCTTCAGCTTTTACTAAACTGTATTGGACTAAGGGTTAGTCCAATCTTGTGTTTGTTCACCGTTAGGATTAACTTTAATGATGCTAGCCTTTAGTCACATTGACTAACCGTGGGATTAGCCGATCTTAACGAAACCCCTAAAAAACAATGGGATTGCCATTTCCTTCACAAGATCTCCAAGCTCTTCACTACATTCAAGCTTGTCCTCTTCTAGCCAATTCTCCAAAAGATTCTTTTTGTTCTGATTTACAACTAAAAGTGACAGTTCCCATGAGGCTTATTTACAATACATACTACATGTACAAAAGTGAGTTAAACTTCAAAATAGACTAATCATAATAATTTAATTTAATTTAAGGAAAACTAATGAAAAGGGCTTGAAAACTTTGAATTTTGACGATAAAGACAAAATAAATGCTAAAGTGAATAGTATCATGTTTGATTTTTTAGTGTAAAAATGTGGTTTTTCATTAAAGTGAACAGTACTGCGGACTTTTCGTTAAAACTCCCTTTAATTTAACTGTTATATATGGACCAAGTGTAAGCATAATAAATATAACTTTATGCCAACATAGTACCCGCAGGTAAATACATTGACATATAATATATTAATCTCAATTTTGAATTCTCCGTTAAAGGTGACTAGCTAGCCAGAACGAAAAAACAGAACAAGAGGACAACAACAACCACTGTTGGATGAAATAAAAGCACTCCTTAACCATAGAAATCAAACGAAAAAACAGAAAATGGGGACTTAAGAACATCCTCACACTCGAAACCTCTATTTACAAACGTGCCTCTCATGAGGCCCTAATTATCAAGCAGCGAATGAGGCGAAGGTGAATTCGTCAGCGCCAGTCTCAGGAAATCCAGCTTCTGACGGCTGCAGATTAACTTGGTCTGTGCCCTTTCCAGCCTTAATTGATGTCACAGGCTGCAGGTTAACTTGGCCTGTGCCTCTTCCAACTTTAGCTGAAGTCAAAGTCTTCATGTAGTCCAAAGAGTCATCATCGTATATCTCCCACCATTTGTCCACCAGCATCTTAACATCTTCCCTCTCCATGTTTTCTTCCTTCCCAGTATAACTCCATGGCTTAGACCCCTGAACCAAGAATTTAAACGTCACACTTTCAATTTAGTTGATTAAAAAGAAGGGACGTGCATCGATATTACATAACTCATTAAAGATTGTAACGATAACTCACATTAGCACAATAGTTAACGACTTTGACCCTGTCAAGCTCAACGGCCTCTGGGTGGCGCCAGAGCATGGGCACCATAAGGTTGTAATGAGGAGCCAGGGCCACCAACTTGTCCTTGAAAAACTCGTTCAGAAGATCCTGCCGAAAAACAAGGTACAAAACTGCAACGTCAGATTTTATAACCCGATTGAGCAAATACAAACAATGATTCAATAAAACTTATATATGGAGAATAAAATAATATGGAATAGAGATAAAATTACCTGCTCTGCAAAGGCGGTGGTAGGAGAAGTCTGGAGGGTTTTGACGAGGTCACCGTAAGTCGCCACGCTGGGCTCAAAGACAAACATGTCAGCATTGAAGTAAAGAGGAGGCTTAGGGCCCGATGTGGGGTCCCACTGAGCCTTGTTGGGCCACTGCTGGCAGTACCCAATCTTGTGCTGTGGGTTGCGGCTCCAAGACTTGTCACAGAAGCAGTCCAGCGCCGCATAGAAATAGGAGTCAGGGTAGTCAAACATGTGATCAATGTTCTTAAAGACTTGGACGTTTCCGTCCAAGTAGATCATTTTGTCATACTCCTCAAACTGCAAATTTCAATCAAAAGGTAGGGGTCAAATCACATGCAAAAACAACCTACTAACAATTAATAAAATAAATAAATAAACGTTTACCTCCCAAATGCGAAGCTTGGAGTAATTTGTGCCATATGGGGCCCTGAACACGGGCTCAATCCTTTTCACGATGCAGCCGTTGGAGGCCAGAAGCTTGCAGTGCTCTTCAGACATATCCGCCAAGAAAGCCACAACCAGGGCGTACTTGCTCATCACTTTCTTCAAGCCCTTGGCCAACCCAACTACACCGAACACGGCCTCGTCATAGTTTCCAGCCAACATGGTCAAAAAGGCCCTCCTGGGTTCACTGGCTGCCGAGAACGCACCTTGAGGTTTCCTAATAACACAACACAGCAGACAGAGAGTTAGTCAAGTTACACCAAGCCCTAGCTAGCTAGGTTTTTCCAGATCGGAGAAAAAGTGAAAGCCCCAGGATAATAATCGTTGACCAAAATAAAACAAGAAAACAAGAAAGACGATTGGAGCAAGTGCAATTAACTTACAGATCGGGGATGATGATGGGGATCCCCTTGAGACTGGTAGTACCTCGACCATCCATCTGAGATCTGATCTGATCGTGGTCGCTGGCGAGTGAGGACTCCTGGAGGTCTCTGAGTTTGGAATCGGCGCTCGACATCTTTTGTAGATTTGTAGAGGGAAAAGGGATTCGGACGTCTCGAGCTCAAGGTTTTTGTAGGCTGATGGAGTTGGACAGTGGGTGTGGGAGGATTTAGAGGGGAAGGACGACACTGCAAAAAGAGCACATGGTTTGCACTTTTTTAATTTTTTTTAATTGGGTCTTCTCACAGGTTGACACGTTATCAACTTGGAGTTCAGAATGGATAATGTTTTAGGAAGGCAGATTCTCTGTCCTTTCACTTCCTGTGCTTTTTTGTTTGTGTGGTCATGGTTAAGTTACATCAATATTTTATATTATTATTTTTTTTAATCTTATTATCTCTATAAAAAAAATAATATAAAATGTTAACATGGCTTAACCGTGAACACATAAAACAAAAGAACATGTAACGTGGGAGGGCAGAGAACCTGCCCCCATATTTTAGAGATCATGGATCGAATGGATAATATTTTGATGAAGATTGTGCCGACAAGAATCAAGATTATGGAGGAATGGAACTCTGGGAACCAATCATTTGCCCATGTTCTCTTTCAGAGGATGGTTCCAGGACATTCCGTTATTTGGTTAAACCTTACTTTCTGCACAGGTGGAAAGGTAGTCAATATGCCAATTGAAAAACATTAATTCAATACCTGATGAACTAAACATTAGTTTAATACTTAGTTTAAAAGAAATACCATGTTAAAATTCAACAAAAAATATGAAGAAAAACATGTGCTACCTTTCGTTGGAGAATTGGATCCCCTCCTAAGCCCACGCTTAGATCCTCCTGACCGACATTTTGATCCAACGATTATAAACAGAGAAGTCATCTAAAAGTTATAAGAATTATAATCGTTGAATCAAAATCTAATGGTCCTTGTGTGTCAGTCAGGAGGATTATGACAGACGATCCAATTTCTTTTGTTGGTATTGAAGTTCTTTTTTTTGTGTTTTTTTGTTTTATAATTGGTGTTATGATTTAGTCTAATACTTGCTCGACGGGGAGCCAACCGACACTGAGTTAATCGTCTAGAAAGTCGAGAGCCTCTAGGAAAAGATAATAATTATTTGTTGGATGGTACGGAAGTCAAGATTGGATGGACCCCACGGTTGCATTGCAGGCATGTGAATAATTCTTCCTATTATCAGTCAATTAAGTTAACTCTTGGAGTCTTGTGGACCCCACCATTTGACATTTTTGCCAACTCTTTTGAAAATGTTCTAACTTCTAAGGGTCTTTTTCATAACTTAACTCGTGTGTTGTAATGTTTTGTTTTTTACCGTTTTATGTTTTGATCACGGAGAAAGTATACAAGTTGTTATAAGAGGTCAAGTAGGACCCATCTTGAAATTTTGAAGAGTTCTGTTGTCATAATTTGTACATAGGAAATTCCTTTTCTTTTTAATTTCATAGATTATAATGCACGTAATAAAAATAGTGTGCACAATGCACAAAATGTATTGAACAGAATACCATGCAAATTAGCATTTCATCGAAACCAATAGTCGTACAGACCTGCTGCATACACATGGGCAATTAACGCTAAATATAACAAACTAATCAAACATATCAAGTAAATTATATATGTTATAAATAAGATTTATTATGGGGCCGAATATATAATATGTAAATAGTGCAAGCATTTTGGCCCTTGGATTCCGGACCTTCCTTGTCCTACAAGCAAACTAATTAACTCCCTTCAAATGCCTCCAACATTCCTTTTTTAATCTAGTCCCCTTAATTTAATCGTTATCTATAAAGTGCTAGCATAACAAATACAACTTTCTGCCAACATACAACCGCAGTGAAAGGATATCATTTTTTTTCACTTATAAAAGTGAATTGATATTATTTTTTTCACTTATAAGTGAAAAGTGTTCAATACAAGTTTTGTGAATAATGAGTTCGAATCAATTTGTTTTTATTTCTAGTGTAAATGTATCGTTGTATCAACAAAAATAAATATAACGTTTCTTGATTTTCAAATGGATAATTCTTTGGAGACGTTATTTTAGCGACACAAAAGTGTATCTTAGTTTCACATTTATTTATTATTATTAACATAATGATTTATCCATATTAAAGACTGTGAGATTAAATTGATTTTGTTCATCTTAAAAAGAATTCATTTTTTTTATTTGCCACTATGATAGATGGCCAAATTTCTAAACAAAATTTTGTAAACAAAATGATTTGGATGTTGATGATTGAATTATTATTTAAGTGTTGATTAACGTGCTTATTTTATATTTGTGACAATCATTTGATTTACAAATTTGATTTAAAAAATTAATCTCCCTAATATTATCCATGTTTAAAAGATGTTTGGTTGTGTGTTTAATTAGAATACCAGATGTCTTCAATTAGTGGGCCAAATAAGCAAGTCATCATATTGAGTACTCACTAGTGAGTACCAAATATTTTTCTTTCTTTATAAGTCATTTACTGACACATGCGGCCAGCAAAACATCTACTGGTTTGATGAAATAAAAGCACTTCACTTTTGTACTCGGTGTGAATAGTCGGAAAACCAATATTGTCTCTTCGCGATAGCAAAAAAAAAAAAAAAAAAAAAAAACTAAATTCCCCTCTTGCCGCCGCCTCCTGCTCTTGGGTGGGGGTTGGTGGCAACCGCCATTTGTCTTGCCAATGCTCGTTACCTCTTCCTCTTCTCCTTCTCTTCTGCGTTTCCTTTGCCTTCTGCGTTTCTATTTATCTTGGCCTTCAGTTTCTAATGTTTTTTGAGGCTTTGTCTCAATTTTCCTGGCTTTTACGTCCTTTTCTTCCATGGATATTTCATCCCATCGTGAGTCCTTTACCATTGACCTCTGTTACTTGGCCCATCATGTGTCTCCTCAGCGGCTCTTTAGTGTTAGGTGATTGTTAAAGTGTTATTCGCACTATATGGTAGGATTATGGAAGTGTTTTTTGCGCAAGTGGTTCGTTCACCCTTATTTTTCATTCACTCAGTTTTTTCGTGGATTCTTTCTCCCGGTGGTGATGGCGGATTTGCGATGGCATCGCATGTGCGGTGGTGGAGGCACTTGTCTTCTAAATTTAGGGTTTTCGTTGTTAAGCTTGCTCACTTCGGCTTTATGTTGTATTTTCGGTTGGGCTGTACTTGTATTTAGTTTGCCTTTTAACTTTTTTTATCTCTTGTACTGCCTTTTTTTTTGGGGGGAACAATTGTATTGCCTTTTTTAATTAATGAAAGTTATCAACTTTGACCAAAATAAAAAAAAAATCAAACCACTATTGAAATTCAACGAAAAAAAGGGAACATGGGGACATGATACATCAGTTCGTACAAAAGCAAGAGTTTTTGTACAAGTTTATTCTGAAACTTAAGCCTCCCATGAGGCCCTAATGATCAAGCAGCAGATGGGCTAAAGATGAATTCAACAGCGCCAGTCTCAGAAAATGCTGCTTCTGACGGCTGCAGGTTAACTTGGCATGTGCCCTTTCCAGCCTCAGGCTGCAGGTTAACTTGGCCTGTACCCTTTCTAGCCTCAGCTGAAGTCACAGGCTGCAGGTTAACTTGGCCTGTACCCTTTCCAGCCTCAGCTGAAGTCACAGGCTGAGGTTAACTTGGCCTGGACCCTTTCCAGCTTCAGCTGAAGTTAGAGTCTTCTTGTAGTCCAAAGAGTCACCATTGTATATCTCCCACCATTTGTTCACCAGCATCTTGACATCTTCCCTCTCCATGTTTTCTTCCTTCCTAGTGTAACTCCATGGCTTAGACCCCTGAACCAAAAATTTGAAGGTCACACTTTCAACTTAGTTGATTAAAAAGAACAGACATGCATCGATATTACAGAACTCATTAAGGGTTGTAACAAGAACTCACATTAGCATAATAGTTAACAACTTTGACCTTGTCAAGCTCAACGGCCTCTGGGTGACGCCAGAGCATGAGCAGCATAAGCGCATCTCCAAAGGAGATGTCAAATTGTCTAAATCAGCAATAACGGTAACAAAAGACAACATTAATGTTTTCCAACCGAGAAGCCAAATCTGATGTGGCTTGACATGGATTTACATATCTCCTCCTTGCTGCCAAATTTGACAGCACCTTCAGATTTTTTTAGTTAAGTATTAAATGCTTTTTATTAATTTTTTATTGGTTTAAAGCATTATCCTTTTGTTTCTTTTCATTCCCAATGCAAAGAAAATACATATGAATTATTATTTTATATTTAAAATTTGACATATCGGTTGGAGAGCAAAAGTTTAAAAAATGTCAAAGTCCCACGTAAGCCTTCAAATTTAAATTTTAGATTTAAAATTAGGAAAACTAATAAAAAGGGCTTGAAAACTTTGAGTTTTAACGATAAGTACAAAATAAAGGGTAAAGTGAAATAGTACCAAGATTGACTTTTTAGTGTAAAAATGTGGTTTTTCGTTAAAGTGAACAGTACTGCGGGCTTTTTGTTAAAACTCCATTTAAAATTTGACATCTCCTTTGGAGATGGTCTAAGGTTGTAATGTGGAGCCAGGGTTGTTTGGGTTAATATTTGAATATTGGGCTTAAATAAAGGAAAGCCCAAGGATGTCAACTAAAGGGGAAACTTGCCCGAAACCCAGCATCGAGCCCAGAGCAAGTTAAAGCCTTCTCAGCCAAAATACAAGCCACGTGTCTATGGGCGAAGTGACAAGTGATGGAGGCTAACCTACTATCTGCCAAAGCTCTAGTGGCATCACAAGTAAAAAGTTGATGACTCACTACCCTCCAAGTGCTTTCGGCTATAGCAGTCGGGCCAAATTGTCCATAAAAGGAAGAAGAGACAACGGGGACAAGGACACTTAACCAATCAAACAAAACAAATATACAAACTCTGTTCTCAAGTCATATTTTCACCCAAAAGTTGAAATCAACCCAGATTCAGCCCTTTTAGCGATAGTTCTCTAGAAGAGCTATCTCTTACCTAGTTTAAAAGCTCTGTTATCTCTCTCAGTGTTGTAGCATTGATTCTCTCATGTAAACTTGTTTACCATCCATCCTTTTTAGCCTACAACCCTTGGAAATACAAAGAGAAGTGTCTACAAGAAGTTCAACCTTGCCAGATAAGGTGAAATCTTGCCCAAAGCTCTTCATTTGTTTTCTAAATTAGTAAATCTATTATTTCATGCATTCGCCAGTATGTATTCAAGTTATTTCCACTTGTTTTTCTATTTTAAGAGTCTCATTTGCATCTGAATCCGGTTAGTTTAATGAATATGTTTTCATTAAGCGCAATCTAGGACCAAACAAATGACTTAAGGGGCTTTGAACCCTCTTCATTCGAACATACAAGACCATGAACCAAAAGTCCTTGTTTACAAGGCAAGAAAAAGAACTTAATGTAACTTGAGGCGCAAGTAATTGACTTAAAACACACTTGTTCTACATCTGCTATACTGAGATATCAGTGGCACGCCTAACACTTAGTTAGTTTTGATTGCGAGCCTCACGGCCTACACCTAAGGCCCCACAAAGGCACCTTTCAAAACTAAGTTTGTCCTCTTCTTGTAACACATCAACAAGTAAGAGCTCGACTACACATCTAAAACGCCAATCCCTTGGGGAGCTGTGCTGAGGTATGAGGAGCCTTCTCCAGAGAAATCTTTGCCCAAACATAGTTTTTGCATGCCCGGTGGGATTCCATTAGTCTTGTATGCCAAGAAGAAAAAGGAAGGAACGAACCTTCAGGTGGAACACATAACACATGCCACCCCAGTGTCTACCAAGATCAAGCATGACAGATTAACCAGAAGATTTCCCCTCCCTATGAGGACCAACTATTCTAGAGAACATGACTTCATCTGAGAAGTTAGGAGGAAAAGTGACCAATGAAGACTTGTAAGCCACCATGATGCAAGTATTGAAAACTATGGAAAAGATTACTCTGGAAACCAGAGAAAAAGTGAGTAGACTCTATTCCTTAACAGGGAGTTTACAAAAAAAGATTAGATCTGGAGTACTCTACTCCAAAAACTAAAATTCTAAAATTTAACGAATTTAAAATAAAATTAAAAATCACGTAAATGAAACACGAATTTAAATAATGAAATACGTAAATAAATAATGAAATTTCGGGGACGGGATGTCATAGGGGAGGCCACGACGCCAACCCTAGGCCAACGTCCACACCGGAAAAGCACGACATCAATTCGGCCTTTAAAGAAGAAGGATCCAAAGAATTCGGTGGAATTGGGTCCAGAGAGATCCATCAATAATTTGTTAATTAAGTTGGCTCTTGAAATCTTGTGGACCCCGCCATTGACGTTTTTGCCAACTCTTTTGGAAGTGTTATAAGGACTCTTGTGAACCCATCATGCATGACACGTGACACATCGAAAATTTCTTATTAGACGAGGTATACTTTAAATCTATAAGGGAAATGGACATAATATAATAAGAGAAATTGAAGGGTTTTGTTGTCTTAAATTGGACATAGGAAATTCTTTTTCTTTTTAATTTCATAGATTATAACATAGGTAATAAGAATAGTGTGCACAGTGCGCAATATGTATTGGACAAAATAACATGCAAATTGGCATTTTATCGAACTTTGGTAGGAATCTAATGATAGAAAAGGGACCAATATGGTTCTAAAAAAAAACATTAAATTTAATTCAAAGATCATATGATTTCAGATTTTGGTGATTTTTTGTAGATATAATCTTTGAGGTGAGACATAAAAAATAAACGTTTAGATCATTAAAATACATTGAGAAATGGACCCCGCAAAAAACGTTTGTCAAAAGCATGAGTCTCCAAATCCTAGCCCATCATTATATTAAGTTATTAACCAAACCTTGTAGGTATTGATTATTGACCAACTAAATACATTTTTTGTGCCCTTCAGATTTTAGGGGCCCCGGGGGTTGGGGGACAATCTTCAATAGTAATGGACAGAAATGCCTTGCGCACCAAGTGAGAAATGTTACTACAAGAATTTTACCAATGAAAAGTTTCTTGACACCAACAAGACCAAGTTCTTAAAAAATTCCTATACAGGTAGTAACAATGTTGCCACAACCATGGCCATGAACTACGTGCAAGCTCGGTTGCCATCCTACATCTCTCAAAAGGCCAAACAAAAAAGAATTGATACTGTAAATTTAAAAGAACTTCTAAAAACGTGACCATAAACACGCAGCATACGAAGATGTTGAACCGGCAAGAAAGTGGGGGAATAACTAGCTCAACCCTTCATTTCCCTCAACCATATGTGAAGTGTGAAAACGAATTGCCTTCAGCGTGATTGGAGAATTGCGGAAATTCTAGCTTTTAGCCAGTAGAAGTTGTTAGAGCACTCGTAAAACCTCAATCCGCCTCAAAATTTAGTAAGAGGGGCCCATTTGTGGCATTCCAAAGGGGGGCATTGGCGGCATTCCCATCCCTCCCATTGGTGGCATTGGTGGCATTGGTGGTGGAGCATAACCTCCCATTCCCGGTGGTGCAGGCAAAGCAGGAAGCAACTGAGCATACATATTCTGCAGATCGTGCAAAGACAATTAGTTTAAGAAATCCTCTCAACAAAACAAGGATAAAGCAAATAGAAATACCTGCTGAGCAACGAGTTCCTTCTCTTCTTTCTCTTTGGCTTTCACCTCGTTTTGAGCTTCAATTTTGTCCTTGATAAGTTCATCCACCTTGCCTGTGTACTCTCGGATAAACTAGAGAGAGCGAGAAGACTGAGTGAGGAACAATTGAAAGGTAACCAGTGGATAAAGGACAACAGAAATAAAAACATTACCTGCAGGAGGTATGGTAAGGCAAAATCAATTATATTGTTCATCCACGCAAGCTCAAGAGCAACATCTGGCCGGATCATATCATAACAAACAAATAGGCATGCAGCAAAACACTCTTTCTTTCCCTGCATATTCATTACAGAAGAACATGATTACAAAACCACATCAAAAATTAATACTTTACAAAGAGAAAGGGATGGAAGCATGGACTGAACCGCCTTCTTTAATTCACGAGGTGGGAAGAAGGAACGAATAAATGAGTATGTTTGAGCAGTAAAATCCTTGCTTTATTTGGCGTGCATGAGCACTCTTAAATTAGAGCATAATTAGTGCATAAAAAGAACACAGACCTGCTCAATGAAATAGATAAGTAGTTCCTCCGAAAGTTCATGATCACCAGACTGTGAGCACGTCTCCATGCAATCTTTGTAATGATTGTCTTTCTTTGACAATGCAATGGATTGCTTCCATCGACCAGCTTTCTTGTAAATGTATGCAGCAACGCGTCTCATCTCAAGAAGCTCATGTTTCTCAAGCTGTTCATTTGCATCAATAACAAATAATTACATGTCTCAGTCAAATACTTCCGATGTATGAAAAACTTCAATCTCACCTTTTGAGCAAGACCTATCTGATCAAAGCTGTCGTGCAAATCTATTGATTCACAAAGCCTGTCATAGTCTTCCTCCTCCATGTATATTTCATTTAGAGCTTCATTCACAGCAGCTACATTGTTGCTCTGAACTGCAACCATGTATGGTTTTATCAGACGGATGTGACCAGCCTGAAACCAAAGGGATTGAACATGTAAGCACGAAAGAACCATTTACAAACCCTGGCAGAACAGAAACTTGGTAGCAGAGACCAATATAAAGGACGTCATGTGACAGAAGCAAACCTTTCTCATTATATCCACCACTCTGGTGTGATCCACACGAAGCGCAATCACATTAAGAACATCATTAATAACATCAGGATGTTCTTCCAAGTAGAAGTGCACAGCCCTATAGTAGAGTTCGACACTCGCAACTTTGACAATAACATCCTTGAATTGCATGTGGTCCCATGCTTCAGGGGAGTGGTTCATTATGGTAGTTGCAGCATTATCAAACTCATCGTATTCGATATACAAGTATGTTAATTCTTTCCAGTGCTGCTGTTCATCACAAGCTCTAATAAGCTTAGGAATGTTGAGACGGGTACAGAATAATTTAATGTGCTCCATAAGCTTCTCAGGACGGTATCTTGCATATAAAACTCCTAATTCTGTAAAGATGCCCATATGTGCACGCTCCAATCCTAGCCCACTCTCCATGAGACTAATGAGCTCATTAAAGCATCCCCTGTTCTGGTAATACTCACAGACCTCTTCCAGATCATCCACCTAAAATTAAACATGCTGAAGTAAGAAATAATCAAAAGTATAATTGAGTAACTAATTAATTGTGTCCTATGGCACATAGACAGGTGCGGCAATCTGCAGTGCTTACAACTTAACAAAAACTTATTCAAAGAATACGCACCACCAATCTTGGGAGACATCTTAATAAACAAAAGCATTTCGTGAAGACAGGTGAAATTAACATAAACAGGAAATGCTACCTGGATAATGATGTTGAGTCCACAAATCTGAGCTAAGCGGAATTCCTCAGCATCCACACATGCAAAGCAAACAAACTTCCACGTTTTTGAGCTGTTAGCTTTCCGAGCTGCATCAACAGCACCTTGAAACTGATTTAGCTTCACAAGAGTGCATGCTAGTTTACCCCAGTTAGAAATGAATGCAAATATGATCTTGGCTGCTTCATATAGGGCTTCATCAAACAAGCGATCCCCAACATTTTGGAGATTGGCAACATTTGGCATAAGAATGAACTCTTCAATATCACCAAGCCGATCAATCTTAGCATAAGCATAAATAAGTTCACTGTCCACCTTCGGCTCCTTGGTCTTCTGCCTGACCATCAGAAGGTATCTTACCAAGTCATGATATACATCTGCATCCTCAGAAGCACGTATGACCTCCAAAAAGTGGGTGGCATCATCTGCATGGATGAATGACTCGATGGCATCACTCACTAATCCCTCTCGCAGTTGAGCCTTGGCCACCTGGCTCCAAACAGCATCTTCTTCAACCCGGAATGCAAACTCTACAGCTCGGTCAATGCTCTGTATGTTATCCAACAGGACATTCACTGCATCAACATTCAAATTGAACTTCTTGAAGATTGCAAATGCTTCTTCATACAACTGAGCTTCTACGGCCATTACTCCAACTGCAGGTCCATCGAAGTTGTCTAATCTATTGATGTAGTCCATGACTCTGGATGGATCAGCTTTGATGGCAGTCAGAATCAATAGATTCTGCAAATTGAAGTTCCCACTAAAAGCAGAATTTTGAAGCACTATCTTTTCAAGAAGCTCAATCAACTCGTGTGGAAGGTCTGCAGTCATAAATGCTTTTACAGCTGATGATACTTGCTCAGGACTCTTGCTTTCAGGCAAGGCAGTAGATACAACTTGATCGATTAGCTGCCTTCTATATTCATTTTCAGGATCAAGGACCTTAGCCCAGAGATCATCATCCATTCTTTCCACAACATATCTGACATGCACATATCAAGTAAATAGCATAAGGGAGCCACATAAAATCATGATCCAACATCTTACCAGCAAACAGAAACACACAAACCTGGCCTGGAGTTTGAACAAAGAATTTTTATTTGTAACGTTAACGAGTTCATCATCGCATTGCCCTCTACGGTAGGCAACAACAGCAAGGGTAGGATCCCTTTTTTCACAATATTTACCAACAACACGAGAATCATAGTATGGGTTAGTTGTGAGAAAATGCTCAGGATTGTTGCCGCTATCTATGATGATTTTACCCAGAGCATTGTGGACATGTACATCTTGGCTTCCCTCACTCACAAGATGCTCCAAGAATTGGGTGAGCAAGCGAAGACGATTCCTGCAAATAGAAATCACAGAAACGATAAGCAACTAATGTGAATGATGAAGGATAAACAGGGTCATAAAAGAGATCACTACACCTCTTTTCGCATTCCTCGACAAGGGGCTCAACCGGTAGAAGAGAACGAACTGATAGAATAAGACCTTTAATGAAATCTTCAGGGCATTCATCGTCCAATAGCTGCCCTACAACTAAAGGAGCATTTCCTGGATTGACCTATCAAACCATAAAAGATATATAACGATTGATGCTCAATTTGAATAATAACATTGACAAGGCATGAGAAAGCTAACAGGAAACCTGCAATTGGAAAGAAAGAAAGAAAAATGACATAAAGCCACCAAGTATGAATACCTTTTGGACATAACCTTCAATGTAACGAAGCATATTGTTCGTATACAAATAATGGGTGAGATCTGGAACAAAGCCAAAACGATCACAGACATTAATCAGAGGACGTGCGTCTGGAAGCTTTGCTTCCATTAAAAAGTTCTTAGCTTTTTCAGGGTCATAAAAATTGGATTCCCGTGTCACACGCTCCACCTCCTTAATCTGTCCAGTTTTTGCAGCTGCTTCAATGTACTTGAAATGGATATCAGGATCCTCACTGTCCAGAAATGATGAATAAATGAAAGGGGCAAAGAAAAAAGAATCTCATAAAACTTGCGGAGCAAATGAATGTAATCTTTAAACTTCTCTTCCACTTAAGGAAACTGATACCTGGAGCTCAAATATGCGCCTAGGAAGAAGTACAGCCCCTCATAGGACTTGAACTGCTCAAACAATTTTATGCATTTATCTACACCCAGTTGCTCAGAATACTCTTTGGCAGTCTGCACAAGATGATCAGGTAAGCCTCAACTTTATAAACTATGAAAGAGCAATACTGGTAAAAAAAAATAAAAAAAGCACTTTACCTGTACAATAATCTGAAGATTGCCCCTAAGATTGACCAGCAGAAGATCTTTCATGCACTCAAGAGCCCATTCTACAGAAAGAGTTCCAAAGAACTCGACAAGAGCCTAACACACATGGTAGTTAGAGATATACTACATCACATACTATCAAGTTACAAAGAAATTTAAGTGCCAACCTGAGGGTCAATTGCATGTGTGTTCACGATGACACGCTTGATATCAGGCAACTCAGTGTAGTGCTGCGCATTAAAGATACTATTGGTTAGGAAAAAAATTATCATGTTTAAATGAATATTCATTAGAATCCAAGAATTACTATACCTGTAGGGCACGCAAATACAAACCAGCTTTTTCACAAAGTTGACCAATACGTGGGCGATCGTAATGACTGAACATACCATTGGCCAATATAGCATCGGCAACATTTGGAAAAGTCACAAGATTGATTTCCAAAACCTAAGAAAAACATTATATGGAGCAGACATGTGAGTAAAAAAAAAAAAAAAAAAGCAAAGAAAGGGAAAAGAAATCAAAGTTTAGGAAAGGGATTATGAACCTTTGTCTGTAGGAATCCATGCTCAGGTAGATTCGGCTTCAGCACATCCAACAGAAAGGCTGTTGCCTCACGGATCAAGTTCCTCTGAAAAATAAAAGAAAATACACAATGACAAGAAGTCCCAAAACTCATTCTTCAGAAAAATAACAAAATGAAGAACATATTTCAACAAAAAATTGTTGACACAACATAAAGCAATATTTAATTTAAACCTGAAGGAACAGATCGGTGATGGTATTGTAGTCAATGGGACAACCTCCCTCCATTTGAGACATCATTAGAGCAAAATTAACAGCCCCCTGCCATCAAGATAGTTGAAGTTGTTCCAATGTCAGACAATTTAGCTCAACCCGTCAGAAGAGCATAGTAAATAGTTACAAAACCGCTGTAAAGAGAAAAGTGCCTCAAACTTTCAAAGAAATGCATGTACCTGGGGATCTGCCCGCAAAATTGTTTGGAGAAGGAACAAATAATCGGGTGTATATCCAACCTGTGACAATTTAAAAATCACAATTAGATAAAAATCCAGTAAGAGCTATTGGCCATGTTATTAAAAATCACACTACCAAAACTGACACAATAATAGTTTTCAGCCAGGAAAATATTGCTGTTCAAAATGAGAGAATTTGAACAATTGTATGTCATTAAGATTCTAGTTCAAAGAAAAGCAAAGTTGTGTGACCTGCTTTGAGTATATTAAAATCTTGTCAAATTCCCTTCTCTCAGCAAATGCTGCAACAACTTTGGGAGTTGCCCGGGCTTTGATGTATATTTTCAAAGCAAGGTCATTATCCACTGTCTGCATTGTAAATATGTTTCATAATATTAGAATGACAATATAACTCATAAAAAAAATCAAGCGGCAGCAGACTCAACAATGCCATTGTTGAGTAAAAGTTGAAAAGAGCCCTCTAACATGATCCTCTTCTTTCTCTTTTAAGGTTAGCTCAATTTTGTTTCAAACCTTCACAAGATCTCCAAGCTCTTCACTACATTCTAGCTTGTCCTCTGCTAGCCAATTCTCCAAAAGATTCTTTTTGTTCTGATTTACAACTAAACGTGACAGTTCCAATGATTCATAAGCATTGAGTTTTCCTCTAGTTAAAAGAGTTCCAAAATACTGCAATAACGGTGGGGTTTGCCCAGCTTGCACAGGAACGCTCTGCAAAGAATAAATAAAGTGTGTAAATTAGATCCTGATTCAAAGATTACATAGTCTTGTAAAGGAAGCACAATACTTCCAAGGTAATCTAAAGGTGACACCGAGAAGCACAAGAACTATGAAGAATATGTATATAAGCTGACAAATATCAGAATGCTATACCTGAAATTTAGCAACAGTATCAGGAGTACGGAGTATTCCCATTGGAGATTCCGCGGCAAGCTCTGCAGCCTCCTTATACTTAGTCTGAGAAAACAGTTCTTGGAACCGCTGGACAACCTGAGCACAACAACCATATATTGTAGTTTCAAGATATCACCAAAGTGCAAACAGAAAACAATTATGTATTCATATTCTCATACATTTTGAACACCCACAAAGACTTAAATTACTAAATGCACCATAGAACTTCCCAGGAAAAGGTTGTTTCCAGAGGGAATATAGGGATCTCATTTCTACATATCACTACGTACTGATTTCCACACATATGGGGGAAAGACACGCACCACAAAAACCCACACTATCGTTACTGATTTCCTTCTTCGACACCAGAAGTAGTGACAACAACTAAGATAAACGTGCCAATTGTCAGAATGTTATTACAAAAACCAACTGCAATCGTTACCAGGTCCTCGGCACCGGGAAGGTTTCCTCTTTTCGCAAGACTCACTGCAAGCCCCAAATTGTTCAACTGCAAAATCCCCAAACAATAAAATAAAGACCTAACACTTTCTTTCTCCAGTAGTCAAATGCACAAAACGACTCAAAAGCATACCTGACCACTAACAAAAGGTACAATTGTTTGTTCATTTACAGTGGCAAGTAAGACCTGGCCTCGCCTATTGACTGCATAAAAACCCCCAACAGTTGAAGCTTCAGCTGTCAAAAATATAGGATCTGGACTGATTCGATTTCTATAAACTGCAGTTGCTGTCTCTAGGTCATATACAAATAAAAGTCCAAGCTTTGTGATAACATATATCAACCCATACTTTTCCGATATCTGAAATCGAGAAGAGAAAAAAAGAATGTAGTTTGATTGATAGGTTAAACATATGGTTGAAATCAAAGTAATAACAGCCAAAAGTAAGACCTGCATTGATACTGGAAAGTCATCAGCAAAATCCGGAGGAAAGAATAAATCTGCTTGCTTCTTAGTATATGATGGTTTTCCTGATGTCAATTCACAGTAAACGTTAGATCTGTGCGATGTGCACTAATATATTCTCAAATATTCTAAATGGAATCCAGTGAAGAAGCAATGTACCTGGCTGGGCACCAAGCTCAATTACATGCATCTTTGATGTAACCTGTCCAGCATTGGAGGACTTTGAGGCAAAACTAATAAGAATTGATGGATGCTCATTCCCAGGAACCTGCATGTAACAGAAAATTAAGTAAGAGAATATAGCACAGTAGTAAACCGCATATATTTAAGCCAAGAGAAAGTGAGAAAGAAGTATGGCACCGTACTTTATATGTGGCAAACGATGCAGCATGTGCTTCAAGAGCCTGACTACGTTTCTGTTCCACAGAAAAAAGCTGCATATTTCCTTTGACAAGTTGTGGCCTCTACAGTCATTTTGGCAGAAGCAATATGTTAATTGTTGAAGATGTCACTAAATCTGGTAAACCATAATTAGTTCCATTCTCGTTAAATTATAAAAATAATGAGATAAAAGTAAATAAATAAAAAGAAAAAAAAAATCTTATTTTCAATAAAGTAATTACATACTTCCAAGTATCAGTGAGAACAAAACGGATAAAATGGTGAAGTATAAAAGTGCAACTAGAACATCTTATCTAATCCCGGCTCCCATGAATTGAAAACAACACAACATTTTGACCACTCTTCTAAATCTTTTAGCAACTTCACAACAAAGTAAAGTGAAAAAATAGCAATAAGAGGTCACGTCTAAAAATATTAACATAGAAAAATTATTTTCATACAGTTATGTACAATTATAAAAGTGCCAGTTCACACTAGCAAACAACAAGATAATCACTCACCTCTGCTGAACCAGGAGCAATTCCTATTAAGACCAACCACTTTTCCGAAGGATCACAACGGTAGTTGATTATTTGATTGTTTGCCAAATTAGCCGTCCGCTCAAAGACCTTTGTAGGCTCGGATTCACCTAAAAGTAAAATATATTTAAAACATGTGAAAAAATATAAGAGTAAAAAACCTCATGTGGAGAGATGAGAGAATGAGAAGAAAATAAAATAAAAGAAACCAGATTCAAGGATTTGTAAAGACGTCTTACCTTCAATTAACCAATGATATACTGAGGTCTGTGTGACCAGACCCAGCATCTTTGGAGTAATCCACTTCCAAAAGACAATCTACAAAGAACGAAAAAAACAAACAGACAAATTTAGGATTACAACCAGTTACCAAAATAAAATTATAAATAAAGATCTTTCACAGCATCAAATTCGACATTGTGAATGCCCTAAAGGAACAAGATCATCACCTGCTCAGGCATCTGATGTGATTTCATCTTTGCTTTCATTTCAATGTTAAATATTTGTAAATGGTCCTGAGTTGTTCCTTGAACTTGAGCTACACATTGAATTCAGCCATTGTAAGCAGGACAATCACCACAACAACTAATAATAAGAGAAAAAGACAATAAAATCAACAACTCAACACAAACTATGACGGTTTATAAACAATTCCACGCAAATAAAAAACGAATTTCAATAATGCTCCACGCTCGCCAATTTACCAATCACAAAAAATGGAAATGCATCCAGTATATAACAGAAATCACACAGTTCCAATATACATTCAATTTCACAGTGATAAGCTGAAATTGCATTACTACACATTGGAATTGCATCACTACATTAATTTCAAGAATTCAAATCATATACCTTTTAAAGCAAGAATTCTGGAATTGGGATTCATCAAAGCCGAGTCGGCGGTAATGGGTCGACGCAATGGCTGCATGGGCATGCTCATATCGATGATAACGACGCTATTCTGCGGCGATGTCTCCCTAACACAAATGTACTTATCCGATTCCATTGTCACATGCGTAAACGTGATGAATTGGGGATTGATCCCAATACTAGGCAACTGAAAAACCACACAAAATTCAAATCAACAATCACCATCATCGCACTCGATCACTCAAACGCATTGCCAAAAATCCAACAAAAAATGCACAAACTTGCACAGATAAACGCCGGATTTATACATAATTCGCAAACGGGTCAGTGGGAAACAGAGTGAAAATGCAGTTCTCAAAAGGATCTAGATCGATCCAATGAGGCATGACCGAATGACGAAAACCCAGAAATGGTTTGATGAAATTAGGATCGAGATGAAGGTGGCATTACCGTTAGGGCCTCTTTCATCGTCATGGGGGCGTTAGCGGCGGCCATGGTGCCCGGGTCGGGGCTTCGGTAGGAGGACCCGATAAGCGGAGAAGAATGTGGCACAGCAGAACCTTCTGCGTGTGGATTTGCAGAGGAGGGGGAGGGGGAGAGAGAGTCTGTGCGGATCTTGTAGTATGGGAATGTATGCAGAAGAGGAGGAGCTATAGTATGCGTTTTTTGTCGCGCAAAATTTGTGAATCGATTGCTAAGTGGGGTTGTACGTTGAGAATGTAATGGTTTAGTCAAGTGCACTTGTCAACGTACAATACCGGATTGCATTTTTTGTATACATAATGCAACGGGTGATGTGTGCATGTCATATCGGTTAATGATTTTAATCTATTGTTTTTGTTTGTTTGTTTTATAAATACGTGTTTACATAATAAGTCATACAAATGTGATACATAAATATACTCTTCTTAGCATTACTTTAAATTATAAGAAAAAATATGGATGAGACGCTAGGTGTAGCGCTGTTTGGCAAGCCTATCTGTTTTGAAGAGTATACATGATGTTTTTCAGGTGCAATATATAAATTAAAATGCCTTTCGGGTTAAGTTATTAGGAATCCCTTTAGGGGGCGTTTGTTGCGCCGGACTATCTCGGACTGGATTAGCTTCAATGACTAAGCTGGACTAGCTTAGACTAGACTAAACTGGACTAACTTAGTGAAGCGTTTGGTGCAGTATTGGACTAAGAAGCTGGATAATAACAAATTCTAATATTATATTATTTAATGTATAAATTATTAATATTTTATTATGATCTTATCTTTTTCTCCATCTTTTCCTACCATTTCCGTCCCACTTTTTTCCTCTTCTCTCATCGTCCCACCCCTTCCCTTTTTTTTCCCCTTAGACCTCTCAATTCATGTCTCTTTCTCATTCCTGGTCAAACTCCTTATTGATTCCAGTCTCTATTTCTCTGTTCTCCCTCCCTTTCTAGCTATGCGTTGTTCGAACGGAACCTCACGGCTCCAATTTTCCCGATGAGTTGCAGGTTTCCTGATGTGTTTTGCCGGCCAACCCTCGTTAAATTGGATGAAGTTAGCATCGCCAAAAAATTCATCACCATCCCTGGACCGAGATCTTAGCTTTGAATGCTCAAATCTGTCATGGATTTGAAGAAGCCCAAATAGGCCGAGACTTCCAGGCCATTTTCCGGCCACATTCGACCACATTTTGGCATCGATTCAGGTAAAATCGTAATCTTGTCACTCCCAGCTTCAATTTGGTATATTTTATATGAAAGTTGGTTGTGAAATGGATCTGAAAGAGAGTCAGAAAGTTAATGATTGATCTAGGTGACCGGAGATGACGAGGAGTCTGTCGGGAGTGGTCGTTGAGAATGACGAGGACAAGAAAGAGAGGATAGTCTTAGCTAGTCCCATGGTTATTGGGGGGTCTCGCTAAGACCTCTTAGTGAAGGGTTTTGTCCATGCTAGTCCCCTTTAGTCTCATTAATGTTAGTCCCAGCATGGAACAAACACAGTATTGGACTAATAGTTAGTCCAGTCCAGTCCAGTCTAACTTAGTGAGGGCAAACAAACGCCCCCTTAAAGTGCTGATAATTGATTAAAATATGGAAGGAGAAAACCATTTACTATATGAAAGGATAATAGTAAAACTAAATGCACGTGTAAATTAGACCAGTTGATCAATGCAGTGCTAAGGGCGTGTTTCAGTACAGTTAATGACACTTTAGGTAGTATTCAAGGTATGTTTACTTAAAATCAAATTATTAAGATATAGTACCATGCATTCCATATACATCATACATTCCATGGTTATTGGTCAAACATATTCATCATCGTTTGGTAGCAATGGGGGTCGTGGAATGTGAATTGTCAACCAATAGTAGCCAAAAATTGTTTAACGTTGAACAATTAATACATAGACTTGCTACTTAAGAAACCTCTAACCACTTTGTAGCTAAGAAACCCCACAAAACGTCATTTTTGTTTTGTTTTGTTTTGTTCCTTGAAGTAACTTTGTCAAACCGTTAAAAGAAGTTGTAAAGCGATGTTACTGTTTTAATTTTTTCGAGAGGGAGGAGAGAGTTGAAGAGGCTCTGTTTGTCAATAAATTGGGATGTATTGCGCAAAATGCAGCTATAACGTAAACAGTTAATCTAGTTGATCAAGATAGGGTGGTCATCTTTTCAACCTGGATTCGAGTCACTTCCCCAAAGATTAGTTTAGAATGTTGCATTATGAAAGAGGTTTTTTTCAAGAAAATAAAATATTTAGGGGAAGTTGGGCTTATTTCACAGGCCGATTGATTTTGCTGTGTGGGCTTTATGACCACCATGTGGGTACTCTTATAGTTTATGGGGTGCCCTTCTACGAAGTACGAGCTCATTGGGCTAGTTGTTTTTTCTTACTTTTCCGTGGCCCTTGAACTATTTTTCATTTTTATTCAAAATAAATAACAGAATTGTTACAACAGTTTGCAATCAAATTAGAGTAATAATTATTTTGGAAATATTTTTAAAATGACTGAAAACGTTTTTTTTTTTTTTTTTAAATTGAGTTTCAAAAACATTTGAAGTACTTTTCCAAGATTCACTTGTATTTTTGCTAAAGATTGGTACAAACAACATTTTTATTAAAAACGCTTTCAACATTGTAAAACACTTCCAAACGAACTCTAAGTGTTTATCGTTTAATTTGATAATTCTTTGCACTCAAAATTCCTACCTTTAATCCCAGTATCGCCAAGAGAACATGCACACGAAACAATAATTCATTTAAACTTTGGTGTTTGACTTCAAAGTGTTGTGTTAACCGTTTCCAAAAAAAAAAAACGTAGCGTTATCCAAATTGTGACATTATAGTGTTTACAACCCATTATTAGATTGGAGAAATGATTTAGACGCATCATTTTTATCTTTTCTTGCACTTGTTTCTAGCCACATAATTCCGTTGAGTCAATACACAATCATGGGAACTTTCATGGCCAAGTGAACTATCTCATACGTCAACAAGCAGTTATAGTCCTTGTCCAACTGTTTTGAAAAATCAAGTCGTTTGTTTGTAGATTGCAGTGCATCGTCTGCTCATTTTCCCACTTGCTTCTTCATCCTCAGGCCTGCTTCCATCTGTTGTTTACGATATTTTAGCAAAATCCCGTCCTTATCATCATCTGATAGCGTAACCTTGCTCCGATTTGCAACCAATTTTGAACCACTTGCAAACTCAACTCATCCCAATTGCTCTCACACTAGTCCACAAAAAATAAAAGGTATACAATATGATGATCTCTTAGAGTCGGCCTCGTAATTTCAGCACGATTTGCAACCTGGCATGAAATTATAAGAGAATAATAAATTTCGGTCAATTGATTAATGAGTCGGGTCATTATCGGATCCCCTGTTAAGATAACGGATTTGCATGTCAGAATCTATTAAGATAACAAATATATCATGAAAATGATACGAACACGATAAATACGACTTACTTACCAGTTTATTTTTAAAGTACAAATACGTATTGAGCAAAAATATTTAGAAATAACTCAATATTGCCCGGTGGTTTAGAGACTACTTAGACGTAGTACGCTCGTGAAGTAGTGCTACACTAATAAAAAAGATTATGATCCAAACCAAAAAAATAAAATTTAACAACATGCTCCTTGCCAAGATAATGAAATATAAAGAATGTAACAAATAAATAGGATTCGTAATTTATTAAGGAATATCCCCAAATAATATAAAAATAATAATAATCTGCTTCTACATAAATTAGACAAGCTTTGACGATCCCTTGCTCTAATTTCTACCCTTTCCACCGCCATATATTCCCTTTTCGAACCGCTGGCGCCAACTGCGCACCACCCACAGTAATTAACACCCCGCTCCACTGAACCACCGCCACTAAAGCTCTCAATTTCCAATTTTACCCCTCCACAATCCAAATATTCCCCGCCGCTTGTCCCTTCTTCCTCGCAAGAGCTCCCGCCACCTGAATAATTCCTCACCACCGTCCATCCATCCGATTCCCAGTTTGCCCCTCCCATCGTCGCCAATTTACCTATTCTATTCGTGGCAGAAACCTTGTACTCCTCATCGTCCTCGTCATCCTCAACGTCGTCGTTTTGATCACCGAACTCGGAGTTAGGCCAGTCGAGAACGCAGCGAGGTGACGAGTCGGCGGCGACCGCATTTGGAGAGAGGGAAGCCAAAAATGGATGCTGCAGCAACTGATCGCAGCTCCACCGCTCCTTCGGGTCCCTCCTCAGACACTTGTCGAGAAAGTCGCGACCAGTTTCCGATAACCGGCTCGGGAATCGGGGCAACCCGTCCGAAACCCCGATCCGAGCCAGCATCTCCAACCCGCGATCCTCCCACGCGGGCTTTCCGGTCACCATCTCGATAACCGTGCAGCCTAACGACCATACGTCGGACTCCGGTCCCTGATATTTCCCGTTAATCACCTCCGGTGCCATCCAAAGCGGACTTCCTCGTGGTGTGATCCTGGCCGTACACGTGTCATCCGATAAGATAATCGCAGAACCGAAATCGGCGAGCTTGGCTTGGTTAATCGCGGGGCCCACCAGGACATTTTTACCCTTGACGTCGCAGTGAACAATGCCCTTCGAGTGAACGTCCCTCAGCGCCGCAACGACGCACCAAACGCGCGACCGCAGCGTCGTTTCGTCCACTTCAGCATCTACTGCCGTGCCACCTGGCAAGTACTCCAAGTGGAGGTTCCGAAACGACGTCGCGGAACCGCTCCCCGTTTCGCACGACACGTCGTCGCAGAGGTAACTGACGACGTGCGGAGAGGATAGCGACCGGAGAATTCGAATTTCGTTCTCCAGCGCCTCTAGCTGGCCGGGAAGACACGCGGCTTGGTCGACGGATTTGACGGCGAAGACACGACCGTCCGGTTTGCTGACCCCGATGCTGACGGTGCCGAACGACCCTCTTCCTACGCATTTTCCTCGTACCCAAGAAACCGTGTCGTGAGAATGTTGAGAGTTTGAGTTCATTTTCCCTATGTCGGAATTTTTTTTTTTTTGTGTTTTTCTTGTGTCTTTCGATTTGGGTCCAACTGGGTATTTATACGTGCGGGAGATCCAAACGAACGTTCGTAGCTTTTTAATCTTTTAATTTTTAATTTGTGGGAAAAGATAAAAGGAGAATTTTTTCTGTGAGGGTGACTAAGGAGAAAGTTTTCTTTGTGATTGAAATACGAGACGTACATCATGTGCTTTTATATGAATGGTGAGAAATTTTATTTTTTAAATTATTAATTTTTTAACACACATATCTCAACATTTGTATAGTAATACGTGATGTACCATCCTATGTACCGGTCCTATCGAAAAATTTCTTGTGACCAAGGGGTGTGCGATGACGTCAGTGAGGCATCTTGGCCTCTTGGTCTGTGTTCACGTAGAGTATGGATAGTGGGGTGGGGGAACGTACTAGGATTGGGGAGGTTTATCCTTATCCAAATAACCGAATTTGTGTCTGTTTTGATCTCGGGCCAAGTGTTTAATCTCCAATTGCATACGTCGTATGTGGATGCCTCGAAGCCAATTCATGTGGTGAATTTTGATCTTGGACTAATGTCGGTAACCAAAGTTAAAAATTTGTGAATTTTCGTTGGACTTACGTTTAAAAATGGTACATGAAGCACACAGATGAAAGCAATAGACACACCTTAAATGATATTTCTTCACCATGTGCCAGGAAAAAGTCTTTTTTGTGGTTGAAATTGGTGATCGGTCTATTTAAAAGTTTTTAGTTTTGGCCTAGCTAATGATGAGATGATGAGGTCACGATTCGTCATTGTCTGAACTTCAAACCGAACCGAATCAAAATTGAATTGAATGTGAATTGAATTGAAAAAAATTTTAAAAAATAAATCGAACCGAACTTTATAATAACTTTAGTTCAATTTTTTATTTTGATAAAAAATGAAACCGATTGGAACTGAATTCCGTAACTACCGGGCCTCGCGGCCAACTTACTGTTCTTTTTGTGTTTTGTTTTCCTAACGAAAAAAGAAAAAGGAAAAATAGAGTGGGGGGTGATGGGGTGGCGGAAGGCATTGTGGTTAGGTGGGCAACAAAATCCGGACCCTTTGATTCGTTGACTTAAAACTATATTCCCACGGTCTTGCTGTTGCAGCTCCTTTGAGTATTTATCCAATAATACTTATAACTGCCGAGGCTGAATGGACATTGATGCGGACGTGTTACACAGGATGACAATTAAACAAATAGTTTTTTTTTTGTTATTTTGTGAACGTTAGAGAAGTGGAAAATTGGTCGCCAAACAAATTGGGAGCGGGTGGGCGCTCAATGCATCACGGAGTCATGGACAACTTCAGAAGAGGCACAACTGTTTTTACAGTGACGTGGCGGGAAATGGTTGGTCCACGACGGCAAGAGATAACTTGGTCGGCAACAAGGAGGAATGAGGTTGTGAGGTCTCAAAGATCCTCAAATCATGTATGTTTATCATATATCGTACGGTTAAAAATTATTTTAAATATTTTAATTTAAAATTAAATATAAATAATATTTAATAAAAATTAACTACACGATATAGGATAAACAAACACAATTTAAAAATATCTAGAATTTCCTGAAAAATATCCAGAGACGATCCTCCTTCAAAGAAGGGATGCTTGCGGGTGGCAGCGAGAAAGAAAGTGAGGGAGGAGTCTGGTGATGACGTGTCGTTATCGCGGTTCATGGAAAATACTTTGGATTAAAATAATGTGGGGAATGACAAATTGGCATAAAGAGAGCAGCCACCAGCCAGCTATCCATATCAAATCGAATCCTGTGGAAAAGGACGAGGGGAAGGGAGCCCATAACATGAAATGATGAAACACATTCTGTGCCTTTTGGCACTTTCCTCATCTTTCTTTCCTTCTAACTTGTTGGCACCACCATTTGGGACAAATTACGTCAAAATAAAAAATGAACAACAATTTAGCAGACGGTTTGTAATTCAGTTGATTAAACGTTTTTGGTTTTAAGATTTATTTGTAGTTGAGATTTTACAACACGGTATGTTTAATCAACATTGCTTTTATCGAATCAAAAGAAATCTTAACTATTCACAGTGATATATATTCCGGACTGTATACAAGATTCGCCCTTTTTGTTTCATAGTAGAAGGATAAGGGCCAAAATAGTAGACAACAGTATAAATTTGGTGATTGACAAATATGGGGAAGCTTCAAAAACAGAAGAAATCTCATACGGAGTTGGGTTCTTTTGATAAACTTTAGTTAATCAAGAAGTAACCGAGCAAGTAGCAAGAAGTTTCGTGAGCAATCTTTTTTGGTGTCACATGTGACATGTTAAAGCTATATGATTAAGTTATTCTTTTTACGAGAAACTTTTTAGAGTGTTAGAAACACAGCTTGAAATATTAAATGTCATACACTAAATTAAATTTTTAATCAATTGTACTATTATATGTGGTTTTTTAGACCGTATCTCTAATACATTAAAAAATCTTATTATATGTGGTTTTTTGGACCGTATCTCTAATACATCAAAAAATCTATTTCCTCTTACAATGAGGTTCATGGGTTTTCAGCCACGTGTTCCAAAGTTTGGTTCAATGTAAAAGTTGGTGCAAGCTTTTAAGCATAGGAGAAGTAGGTGTAGAAAGGCAAGGCCAAAAAGGGAGTAAGGATGTAAAGGTTCGTCGATGAACCTTCAATTTTTGGGAGATTGCCTTAAAGGGAAAGAAAAACGTGTCCTTTTTTGCTTAATGATATATGGCCAGCAGCTCATGTGTAACATCTCTCCAAAGTGTCCAACCAAAACCATACACGGACCCAAGAATCATTTCTCCAAAGTGTTTCCTTTTGCTTGGCCATTGATTGTTATTACGTCTCAGAAAAATCGATGATTATGATAACAATTAATTAAAATTATCATGATAGACCGTACATTGACTTAATACATATATCGCCAAACAATCTTTGATCTGATTTATCATTTTTTAATACATGATCTGATAGCTAACAAAGAATAAATGGTTTTGATCATAACATGTGTATAATAAAAATTCGTTAATTACAACATAGTCCACAAGGAGACACACCTCTAAAATAGTGAAGGAACTTTAGGATCCACCATAAATCAATTGACCATGGGGAGTAGCCTAACATGATTACTTAAAAGCTCATGTAAAGTCCTTCCTTTTATATGTCGGATTCATCTCAACACAGCCTCTCACATGTTTCGAATTTTCAAGCGAAATACGCGTACAACACAACTGAGGTGACACATAGCACATGTAGCCGTTAGGCTTCGTAAATGGTACAACTTGCTCTTATACCATGACAGAAGTTGAGGTTTCACCATAAAACCAATTGGTATGGTATTTGGAAGTGTCGCATATTTGTTTGAAGCCGATGATTAACCACCATAATGCCAATTTTCGACTTTAAGATTATACAATCTAGTTATAGTAGCTGGAAGTGTTGCATTGTTTATAGCCTATGATTAGTTGTATATAATTATAATTAACAAAAACGTGTGTTTGTTTTTTCAATTGTTTTTGAAGTGGTTGATAATCTGATACATACAAGGTTTAGTTTAAGTCCAAGTTTGTTCCGATGGTTCGGACCAATGTCGTTCAAGTCGATATGCATGAACCCAAAGACGATTGCATCTTTTGCGGCTGGCATGCAGTCCTCACAACTCACAATGCTTCCTCTTCCTTGTCATCATGCATGCACGCATTGTGTTAATGAACCCTACCAATTGCCAACAGAATCACAATCCCCACAAACCCCAAGTTTTGATTTTGACAGATAATAGGATATTTAGAAAGATGCTTTATGACGGATCGTCAATCTATTCACAATAATTTACAATTTAATACAGTATATATCATAAAAATATCGTCTTTATATTTGCGTGCATGAACATAATATCTTACACAATCAAATGAAAACTGAGTCCTGTTTGGGTACTTGGTCATGTGTCACAACATCCCTCTAAGATCCAAATTAAAGTTTTAAAGACATGAACTCAAGTATAGGCTTAATTATACATATGCCCCCTAACTATATCTCGTTTCATGTATGTCGTTTGAAACTCAATTGACTCAGTTTATCTGGTTCCAAATGTGACATTATGTTAATGGTGATGCTAGATAGAGTATCTACTTAAATCATATTTTGTAAATCACATGATGTGACAGTTGATGATTGGACTCATTCTTAAATTTTTAAAGAAAGAATCCAATCATTAACCGTCACATCCTTTGACATACACAATATAGAACATTTTTCTTCTAATAACCATAAACATTTTCCGTTAGAATTGATGATGTGACACATACAACAATGGTAGTTCTTCATTGCCCCAACATGTAAAGTATGAACCAATGAATGATCCGCATGTAGATCAAGAAACCAAAGCGAGTCAGTTTCAATTGACTAAGTGAAGCACGAATTATAGTTCAGACCTCGTCAAAGTATAATTAAGCCTTAATTACGTGAGTACTTGAGAGTTCGTGCATTTACTTAACAGTTCATGCATCTTTTTCCTTTCTAGATACGAAGTAACTAGTAAGTACATGACATGATCTGGCTGCATTATAGACATATACAATGCATGTAATTAGGATTTTCTAGTGGAATTTGATTGATAAATTAGGTATGATGTTTGGTACAACAAAATCACACCGTGATTGGTACTGAAAAGTCCAAGGGGAAGCCAAACTGCGCTTTTTCTAGGAAAGGGTACCCTACATTTGTTTAGCTTTTTTTTTTTTCCCTAAAAAAGGAGGGGGGACAACTGGTGGTAAATCATGGTTATTCACCCATTTCGGGGGCCATGAAGACTCACAGAGGCATTTTAGCCGCCTCCTGGCCACAAGTCTGGCTTCCACACCAACATCGGGTTTCGAACCCGAGACCTCCAATTTTTAGTTGTAAGGAAGTCTCGTAATCCGTCATTTATCACTAGTCCACCAGCTCGTGGTTCATTTGTTTAGCTATTTGATTATCTACATTTTTGTTCAATTTTATGATTTTTATTTAATGAACTATATAGTAGCTTGCAGTTTTTACCGAATCGGAGTTGATTCCACCTCGTTCTAAGTTCAATTTTAAATCGATCTGTGTTTGTCGTTCCTTTGTGGATCCTCCTTTAGTGAGCAAATTTTAGCTTGTGGTGATAGCAACATCGTAGATGGG